ACTGCATCTGGCCTTGTGCCCCCCCCCACCCCCCTCCACAAACACTTCCACAGAGAGTAAAGAGAACTCATCATTTAGTGGAATGACCTTGACGCCAAAAACGACACAGAGTAGCAGAGTAGCCTCACTGATGCACGGCATCCTCGCTGTGGAGAGATTTCACTGATTACGGCAAGATGCTGCGGCAAACAGTGTAGCAGCGGGTGACCACCTTTATCTTTACTCAGCTCCGTGCATGAATTATATATGAAAGAAAAGTCATAAAGTTTTGTGAGGAGAAAGCGGCAGATGCTATCACAGCCTGTAATTACAGAAAGTTTGTTATTGCTACAGCACTTAGAGTGGATGTGGATGGTCCACAGGCCAGAGACTGAGCTCTCTAAGAAAGAAAAAAACAATAAAAGAAGAAGAAGAAAAGCCTTGGGCGTCCATGCAGATAAACACAGACTCCAAGAACAAACTCCGCTTGTTACTGAATGAGCGCTCCTTAATTTCTGAACCTCTTTTTGTTTTTGTTTTTTTTTTCCATAAAAATCTTCTTCAATCTTTCGCTTTAAAGCCGACATTTGCGCGGCTGACGAGTCCTCTGGAGGACGGAGGGGGAATCTCCAGGCTGTTCCAGGAGACCAGACAAAGCCAGTTTTCATCATTAGTGAGAAGAAGCAGGAGAACGGCTAACGCCACAGGCAGCGCTAAAGCTTCGCGGGCCCATTAGAGAAGAGAGTGGCACATCACTGTCACATTAGACCATCCCAAGAGAAGACGGAAAAACAAACCGGAGCGTGGCCTCCACACACGGCATAATTAACCCACAGGGGAGGACGGACGGCGACGGACGGCGACGGACGCACGTGAGGGAGTCAGAGGAGAATGAGACGGAGAAGAATGAGAAGACAAATGAGAACGATGAGAGCAGATGTTGGGGAGTGACTGTGGTTAAAGTCTTTGTTCACACATTCAGCGAGTAATTACTCAAAACTGCTCTGCAGAGTTGTTTTTGGAAGAGCACAAACACACACACAAAACACACACACACACTGATTGTTGTGTGTTGTAAGCAGTAGTAAATCTAGTCCAGGGGTCCTCGATCTTAAACACAATTTTTTTTTTCATCAAATATAAAATTCACCAAGAGACACAAACAGCCTTTGACCAATCAGATGACGGCTGCTGTTTAACCTGTTGGAATCTTTCTACATGCCAGCAGAAGTCAATTCCTATGCAATATTTGTTATGACATGTATATATATATATATCTTCATAAAGTCAGGTGTGAAACACAGTGACAGGAAAATAATCATTTTAAAATCTGATGATGACGACTCCTTAGATGGCATCAAAAAGAGTCCAACAAAGATCTTCACCACAGCATCTTCCAGCTGTAGTTCAGTTCATCACCGCAGATGTAGAACAGCGATATGAAGCGTTAGCGCGTCACCGTTAGCGTGCAGTTGAGCCAAATTTCCTGCCTTTCCTGTCTCCCGCCGTGTTAAAGAAGTAAACAGACAGACTAGCATGTAAATCTCGGCTGCGTGTCAACTCAAAGGTTTGTGCGTTCTCCTCTCCTGCAGGGCAGATCTGACATGTGAGCTGATTCACTCTGCGCCGGCTGACGCCTCACATGACAAATGTGATTTATGTGAAAAGTCTTGTGTATTTTTCACTGCTCCGTGACAGCAGCGCTTGAGCGGCTGCTGGGATTCTGTGCGGAAACCGTGCTTTTCTGCACCGTCACTTTAGATGAGAAACACTTTTCATTTGGATCTTTTTTTTTTTTTATTCCTCAAACTTTAAATCCACATCACTGTCTGTCCACAGAGGCTGCTTTTGATGTTTGTTTTGAAGACGGAAGCATATTTTTGGGTGGGAAATAGGAAATAAAAAAATAATATATTTATTCATTAATTGTTTTTTCTTATAAACTATTTGTAAGAGTCATCACTAAGCTGCCAATCAAACTAAATTTACACCCAACCCCAGGGATTTCCGTTAGAAAGAAAAGTTTTTAGCTGCTTATATTCTGCATTTTTTTATCTTACGGAAAATATTTGTAATAAAAAATATATTTCTCTAATATCCCTTTACTAAAAGTGCACCAAAGAAAAGGCTAAAAAAAACCGTGATAATGTGAAATGTTAAAATAAAGTTTCCTGTATTTTTAAGTCTTAGTTTTAGCCAATTTAATTAACAAACTAACAAGAAATTAATTCTAACGTAACATGTAGCTGCAGTTTCAAAAACAGCAATTAGCTAGCAATTAGCTAGCAACTGGCTAATTTGTAGTTAGCCAACATCTTTCTGTGTTTCTGGCTAACTGGCTTTTTAGCTAAAGCTAGCAAGAATACAATAACAAATAGCTCTTACTATACTTTTAGAAAATTACTAAGAGAACAAATTACTAGTATTTGTTTTTTTTTACTTTAAGCTTTACTACAGTATACACCAAGTACAGCTACAGCTAGCTTTGGCAAACACTAAGTATATCTGTACGTTTGCATAGTAGTAGTAATACTCACATAACTGCAATATTTAGGTTAATAGTGAACCTTTCCAGCGTCTGTTTGGCACTGACCGTCATTGGGGTCCACGATCTCCACCGCGGCAGAAGAAGGAAACTCCATCACCGCCATCACCGGCTCTGACAGCAGGATCTGGAACACCTCGGCCTGCTCGTACTTCCCATCGCTGAGGATCCGCACCCTCCACGTGGCTCTGGTCTGGCCCGGGTTGAACTGGACCTGTTTCTGGGACTTGCCCTTGAAATCCTCGTCCTTCTTCGCAGTGCCGTCCAGGGTGCCGATGCCTGAGGAAGAAAAAGGGGACATTTTTGTTTGAGTAAAAAAAAAAAAAAATTAGAAAAGTGACGACAGGGCAAAGAACACGACCACGACGAGGTGTCAGAGACAGATGAAAGAATCAGATTAGACGTTCACACCTTTTAATGCTGTTCAGAACATGGTGTTTGTTTTTTTTTTCCTTTTCTTGTTCTCTTGCGATCACATACAGAGACGTGTGAAATTAGTTTGTGACTGAAGCGTTTGAATAAACATATCGTTACTGAGAAGACACTAACTTGGCTGTTGTTTTTTTATTCTGCCATCTGTTATCTGTGCACATGTCGGATTGTGTGTCACCTCCGCTTCTCTTCAAACATGTCTGGTTTCATGTGAGATCTAGCTCTGGTGACGTCTTCAAAGCAGGAGCGCTCACTGTTAGCACTGGAGTTCACACATCAAGCACACTGAGACGGAGGAAATATGAAATTTTCACAACGATGTGATTTGATCCATGCCTGTACTTGTCAATTAAAAGGATTTTTTTTAAAATATTTTAATGCTTTTTTTCCATTTAAATACAGGCAGTGAAGAGGTGACAATCACGTGCAGAGGAGACGGGCGCACTGGATCGTCACGCAGTAAAGATCCAAGAGAGGTGAGTATATTATATGCAAATCAGGAGCCGAAAATAATCACACATGTAGCAACACAAACTTTTACACTCCTGCTGCTGCTGCTGCTGCTGAGAGGACCTTCAGGGCTTTTAATAATTTACACAAGTGAAAACCTCAGAGATAAAAGAGTGTGTTGACCAAAAGTCTAACATCCCTAATAAAAGGCTCTGTGTTTTCATTGGACGTGTTTAGACCCTACGTGAAGACGTTGCACTCAAAGCTGTAAAAAGACGAAGTTAAATGGATAGAAAAGTTGTTCGGGAAGAATCCAGAGTTGTTTTGATTTAATCTCAATACCAATCAGAGGAAAGCATTTGTTATGAACTCAGTCGCGTGAAGCGGCAGCGGCGGTGGAGTGGAGTCCAGAGAAAAGCCTGATGGTCTCCACAGCTCATCTCACATTTGACCCAAACACCACATTAAATGTAAAAAACCTGCTGTTTCTCTGTGTTTTCTTAACACCAACAAACTAATGATGCTGATGCTGATGCTGCTGCTGCTACAACAACACACAGCAGCGGCTGACAGTCCCTGTAGGAAAACCATTGCATGGAATCTATTCTCAGTATCTGGAGCTGTGCTGTTAGCAACAGGACAATGGGGAGAAAATAATGGCTTGTTACTGATATAAATGAGAGATTTAGGTTTTGGATGGTCAGCTGAGAACTTTTGTTGACTTTCCAGTTCTTTCTATTATGAGGTGTTATAAGTTTTGAGCTAGATGCGCTACTTCCTGCTCATTATATGGTATTTGAAATGTTAAATTTCATTTTTTTGTTTATGTGCAACTTGGTTGAAACAACCTGATCCTGAATCTGATTTATAGGCTAAAAATAGCTTTAGCAAGAATTGTAGCTAGTTATGTTTATCATTTATGTGTCTTTTTTATTGTATTAACTAATCTTTATCTTTTAGCTTAATTAAAAAAAAAAGTATTAGTAGCATCTATGCTATGTCTAACATCTAAACCTTAACTGATTTCAAATTAACTTTTACCTTGACTTTTTATGTTTTTCTGTTTTTTTCTGTTTGACATTTTTTGCTTATTTTCTTGGTGGCAAAAATGTCCTTTTTCCAACTCTCAGAGTATCTCTCTGGATTTGATTTTTTTTTCTAGTTTCAGCTAACTTGAAGACAAGATAAGACAGATGAAGATAAGATAAAAGATATTTTTACCATTACCAAACTATATTCTCCTCTTCTTCGGCACATCTGATGTGATTTATTATTCCCAAGTATTACTGTAAAAGCCACCATCAAAACATTTTCAAGGACAGTGTCAGAGAATGAATGAAGGACAGTTTTGGTTTCCAGGCTCCAGTAATTTCATACTTGGCTAAACAAAGTCAGTCAAAGTAAGAAAGGAAACATGGAGAGCATCCTCCTGTCTTTCCTGTCTGACAATCTGTTTGATCCTCGTCAAATGAAACAGATCTGCAGAGAATCCTAACTGCAGGACAGATGAAGGCTCAGCCTCACTCTGGTACCTTCTCTAACCCCCCTGCAGGGCTCAGACGTGTCTCGCCTGGAGTTGCACTTTAGCTTTTTTTTCTTTCTCCACAGGGAAAAATATACCCAAACAGAAACTTCTGATCTCTACAGCAACGCTGTCAGAGCTGGCGTCCATTGTTAGCCCACATCACACACACACACACACGAACTCTCTCACACATTCTGCAAATATTTTTCTTTGTTTTTTTTTATGCTTCACAATTTCAGCAGTAGAAGCAAATATTACCATGAGCCCAGTTTGGCTGAATGGAAAAAAAACCCCCACACAAAATACCTCATACCAAGCTGTGTGATTGTAGGGAGGAGAAGTGGGGGAGGCAGGGGACGGGGGGGACGGGGGTTACTATTCTCTTTGTGTGTGAAATAAAATAATCTCTCCATCCACCTGGTCTGTCGACAATAACGAGGCTGTGACACAGTCCACAGGAGACGATGTTCAGCATCTTGACCTGTGTCAACGAAGCGTTCATTTATCTGAGAGGACAAGGAGGACGGAGAGAAGGAGGACGGAGGAGGAGCAAACTCTGTTTGGTTGTGATTTAAGTAAATTTAAATGAAAGGGAGATGAAACAAAGAAAAGGCAATAAAGGCAAAGTGCAGAAAAAAAATGTAGAAAATGGAAAGTACGAGATGAAGTAAGGTGAGAAAAGAGAGAAGAAAGGAGCGCAGTCAGGTCCATGTTTCATGAAAGTGAAACCAACATAAGGATGTGACGTCCAGCAGAGATAAAAACACCTGCGCTCCCCACATGAACACACACACTCACAAAGGAGGTGAGAATCTACCGACAGAGGGAGAATAAAGTCAAACACGGCCCAGCGGAGACCGAAGAAAGAGAGAGAAGGCAGACGTCAGTGAGATGAAGGAGAAATGATGGGAGGTTTTCATGGCACCGACCCAGGACTGTACGGCTGCTCAGAGGTGGAGGAGTCTTTGATTAGAACAGAAAAAAAAAAGAAGCAGGTTAGACGTAAGAGGAGCGACTGCTCTCCGAGGAGCGGCGAGGCGAGAGGAGATTATGGATGAAAAGAGCAGGAAGTGATGCAGGTTAAGAAGGTGGACGAGTCGGTGGGACAGGTGTCGCGGGGACGAGAAAGAACTCCAGGTGTGGAATGAGGATGGAGGTGGTGTTTGGATTCTTCTTTTCTTCATGAGCAGAGAGCGAGGGAGGGTTTTTTTTTTTTCTTCTTTTAAGCTTAAAGACGGAGGATGGAGGATCCTGATCTGATCCCAGGCTCTTGTCCAGCTCTGTTGTGCTTTAGCTCTGCTTTGTGGGAGCATCTCTGAACCCTGATCTCCTCCCTGCAGTCCACCTCCACCCCCCCACCTGAACAGCCCTGTAGTGATGGAGAGTGTGGAGCAGCTTCTACCTGGCACGGCAGCGTCTTTCATTAGCAGAGCCTCTGTCAACACTGCCGTCCCTCACACACTCAAATCTATTTCTGCTGTGCTGTCCAATAACACAGGATTTTTATTTTATTTTTTCCAATTTTACTCCGACTGGATTATTTGCACATCACACAGAGATGGGGTTTGGAACCAATTTTGGATCAGGTGCAACAAATTTGCTTTGAAATAAAAACAAAAACAGAGTTTTTTTTTTTGTTTTAAACGAGCTCATAACCGTGTTGGCTCAACACGTCGGCAGAAGTGCGAATCACCGAGCGGCGTGGAACGTCCTCATCCCAGCCACAGCCCTAATAACTGCCATCGTCACCAAGTCCACGCTGGAAACAAAGTCTTCGCTTGTTGTCGGTCTCAGTCTTCTGACCTACTTTTAACTTCGGCCTCACACCCAATTTAGTCAATAGTCAGTGAACACAACAGACATCTCACTACAGACATGAGTCACTCTGCCTTTGTCCTCCTCTCTCCACTTTACTCCAGCAGAAATTCAATAGCTGTGATTTTTGAGTGTCTTGGCTAAACTAATAAATAGAATATTGTCTCCTCGTGCTTCCAAAAAGTCCTGGCAGCATATTTTTCAAAATGTCAAATTCACTTAACTGACCTGAGTTCAGCTGATGTTTTCTTTCCCCCCAGAATAAAGGAGTAAATAAGGTGAAATTGCTGCAGTAGTGACACTGAAAATGCCAGCGACTGCAGACACAAGTGTCGGCCGACAAACAAACTAATCTGTGTCGGGCAGCTGTCGATGTTTGTCTTCGTCCGTTTTCTGTCTTGCTGAAGCAGGAACAGTGAAAACGGGCTGTGAGTGAGAACGTGTACTTTTATGTTGCATTACACCGGTGCTTCTCAAATGGTGGGGCGGGCCCCCCCTGGGGGCACGCATATGGACATTAGTGTAGCAATGCATGAATGATAAGCCTCCAGTCACTAGGTGGCAGCAACTCATACAGGGGTTTATAGAGATATAATAAATAAATAAATATATACATATATATACATATTATTAGGTTCTCAGGCGTGACTGAAAATAATCAAGAACCACTGCATTACACTAAGAATGTAGTTTAAAAAAAGCAATAAAAGGAGAGTCAAAAAGTTCCAAGACATGTTAAAAACTATAAGGTGTCTGATGTTAAGTACAATATGATGAGATGTATCACTGTAATAAAACGTCAACGGTTGATCTGTTTTTGTTTTATTTAACCATATTTCTTTAGTCTTTTTAAAGACTAAAGTAAAAATTAAAACTACTGTAGAACTTGGAACCAAAGAGACTCGACACAGACTCAAAGTAAAAAGTTTCTATCTTCAGATGGACCCAGACTTTAAACCCTGGAGACTTTATTCATGTGTTTTCTCAAGGGACTAAAAACTCTAAAACCTAATCTTCAGGAGTTAGGACTCAGACTCAGACCCTGGAACTTTTCAGTGATGACTGGACAACGAAGGACTCGACCCAACAGACACCGGTCAACTTTAGCTGTTTCTTCAACTTCCTGCCACTGACGAGGACAATCTTAGCATCTTTAAGACAAAATCAAACCTAACGTATTCCACCAAGAAACACAAGCAAAAAAAAAAATCGCTGTTTACAAAATTTTGCTAATTATGTCTTGGCTCATCATTAAATTTTAGAGGCAACTTTTTGATGAACATGTTCATTAAACACACTGCAAATTATCTGTCGCAAAAAAAAAAAAAAGATCATTAAAACTTGAGCCAAACTTATGAAAACTAAATTAGCATCTCGCGCTGCGGCGCGGCCTCAGCTAAACGCCACTAATGAGACACAAAAATAACTTTTTCAGCCTCAAAGCTCAGTTGTGTTGATGATAACACTGATCAATAGGCTCTGTGGCAGAGTGAGATTGGTTTGCGTTACGTTGTTTGCCGTTGACCGCGGTGAGCGCTGCCGCTCTATCACTGGCTCATTGGCTCCATTTCTTCTGCTCGCCAGTTCAGCAAATTGAAATCTATAAAAGTTATTAGACTGTGATCAGAAGTTTTTCTCTTCTTTGGTGGTTGTCATGAAGTGGACTGAACTTCATCATCAAGTGTTTGGAAACGTGGGAGCGCCGGGAAAAAGTTTATCGATGTTTCAAGAAGAGTAGTCCAATTTACAAAGATGAATTCCGTGGACGGCAGAAATGCTACACTTTCAAAAACAATGTGAAACAAACGAGGGACTTCAACGTGTTCATTTTGACCGAGACAAACAGACAAAAAAAAAATAAATAAAAAAAACCCATCTATTTCAAGAATTTGCTCAAACTATCAATGGTGTTTTCTCACCCTCGTCCTTGACTGCTAGGATTAGCTGCAGCTCCCCTCCTGACCGTTCACAAGATTAAATCAGAAGATAGGGAGGAAAAGTGGCAATGTTCTTTTTTTTTTTTTTTTGGCAAATCATTATTTTAAATAAGTTTGTGGGACAAAAGATATTCTTTTATCCTTTTGTCTGATGAATAAAAAACCCACGTGAGTTACAGAACTACAGATGCATTTTTATGGATTATATAAAAATGTGTTTTTTCTTAGCAGAGCCCTGAAAGAAGAACTGAAGTTATTGAAGAGTCACGTTTTTATAAAGAGTTTCTGGATTTGACAACGGTCTAACATAATATATTTATGATTTTTTTTTTTATTTATTTTTGAGATTTGTGCGGGTCTTCATCACACAGAAATGTCAAGTTCCATTTCGTTGTGAATCAAACTGTATTGGTTTGTCTGTGGATGTAGGACTGAGTCAGAGGTGAGAGCAACAGCAGGGTCCGTAAGGTGGGTGCACATGACTAAATACTTGAAAAGGGACTTTGTGTGTGTGTGTGTGTGTGTGTGTGTGTGTGTGTTCAGAAAGATAACCAGACACTCTCCATCTGTGCCAAGAGATGAGAGTTTCTCCTCCAGCTCTCATGTGTGCCCCCAGAGATCCACTGCCGTACAACCTTACCTCAACACACACACCTATACACACACACACACACAGAGGCAGACGAGTGTTAAAGTCTCACACACACTGCCAGACCGCGCTGCTGCCACCAGACGCAGCATGAACTGGGATCAGTTGACGGGAGTGAAGAAGCAGCTCAGAGCGAACAAAACAAACTCAGGTGTGAGAGCTAACCTGGCTGAGGGCGGAGCCTCCAGGGCCAGAAATCATCGCTATCATCAGCTGCACCTTTGAACCTGAGGAACTGCATTTCACTGCTGTCTGCAGCTCTGGTTTTCAACCTCTTCTGTCTGGTCGAGTGTCAGAAGTGAAAAAAATCTAATATGACAACTGGGTTTTAAATAAACAAAATACTAAAAATTAGGATTCAGAATAACTTCGCTGAAAAGAAACATGTCTAAAATGAACTTAATAAAAAAGATTCTAAGAACCAACTCAATCCTTAAAATATTCTAACAATGCCCTTGTGTACCGCGTACCCCCATCTGGTAAAAACGTTTTTTAACAGCAGTCATATCATATCAAATTACATTTTTTTTTTTCAGACCAATAGAAAGAGAGATGAAGCATCGACTGGATATTCTACAGGCTAACGTGGCTAAAAGTCGACCTCAGGTCAACGATCAGCTTCATTTCAAGATTGAATTAGAGACAAAATGTTCCAGCAGCTTCTTTGAAGCGTCACATCAATTCACAAGATTTCCAAGAACATGTTTTTCACCAAATTATTGGAACACGGAGTAAAATTGCGAGAGAGTGCATTTGGTGTATTTTCTGTTTTTCTTCCAAACCTGCAGTCACGTCAGACTCTTTCCATTTCATTTGTATTCTGCAGTTTGAAGAGCCGATGCATTAGAGCCACCTACGTAGAACTCTACCAGAGAGAGAGAGAGAGAGACATTGTTCCTGACTCTGCCTCACATCTAATGTACAGAGTTCAATTACACTCTGTCAGACGAGGAAAGAAACACGACGTCCTAGAAACGACACTTCTTAGACACCAAGACGCTGCATTCGAGTGTTAGCAACTGTCAATAATCGAATCGTCGTCGGGTTTTTTTTACAGTTTCGTTTTCAAGGATAAAAACCGGGAGGAGACGGAGGGACTCACCAATGAAGGACGTCTCTCCCAGGTAACCTCTGCGTCGCAGCACCACCTCCAGGAACTTGTCCTCCTCGTCCACCACGTAGTACTCCTTCTCCAGGGAGATCCAGGCCCAGTCCAGACGGAACTGCTGTCCTTTCAGTTTGTTACCACCTGGAGTTGAGACGGGGGGAAAAAAAATCTGTTAAAGTTGACGCCAAAATCATTCGTACTGTTACGGTGTTTATCAAGGTAATAAATACTTTTTAATAAATAAATACTCTTTGCCAACTTTTGATCTTCTTTAATTTATACAAACTGTCGATGATAATTTCCTGCTAACTTCTACACCTTAAGGCATTGTTTCCCAAAGACTGGGTCACAACCCTCAGGTGGGTCGCCAGAGATTTTGTTTTTGGGTCGTTTGGGAAACACTGCCTTAAGGTATTTGGTAACCTTTAGTATTTTAAGATTTTAGTTAAGATTTCGGGGTTTAAGTTTTGAGATATACAGGTAGTGATGAACTTTTTTTTTTCTCTCACTTTGTTGAAACTGATTTTTTACTTTTAACCTTTGCAACTTCTGACCCAACATTTATTAATGTTTTTGCAGATTTAAAGACTTGTGTACATCTGTATGTTTATACAGAATGTCGGAAATCCTGAGTAAAAATATTTTATTTATTACGTATATTTTACATGTACTTTAAGTGCAGTTCTAAGTATGTAAACGTTTCTTCAGTTGCCCACGTTGGGTGATTCTTTTTGTAAAAAAAAAAACACTTTAAGTGCAGTTCTAAGTATGTAAATGTTTCATCAGTTGCCCATGTTGATTCTTTTTGTAAAAAAAAAAAAAATTGTGTTAAATTAAAGGTTAGAGTCAGAATCTAACTCCATCCCTGTGGAAACTCGGACTGAGCTCCTGTGAACATTTACTTCTCAGCATTAACTGCCTCAGTCTCTGTCTGCAAAACTTGAAAGAGGAAATGATCAGGTGAAAAATTTGGACCGTGAGAAAAAAAAAAAAACAGCAGGGAAACTGTAATAAAGTAGAAAATGTGTGTATTAATTATTTTCAAACTGAAAGCCGAAAACGTTGGAGCTCAAACATCTGCTGCGGTATATATTTATTCAACTTATCGGAGTTAAAAATACAATTCTTGGTGGAGGCAGACTTTTAATGAGTTCACATTCACCTTTGATGATCCCGCGTTCTCCCCCCCTTTCTTTCCCTCCCGCTCTGATAAAAATAGCACATCATCCTGAGTTTTTGAGTCTGCCAGGGAATCAGTGTGGTATCAAGTACAGGTTGGCAGAGTAACTGTCGCCGTTGGTGCCGCAAAACACTTAATGGCTGCCACTTCAACGCCTGGACAAAAAAGGATTTTGTGGAGGAGAAAAGGCTTTGTGTGGATAATGTGCTCACCCACGGCTGCAGATTTACAGTAATGAATGGACTGTAATGACAATAAAACAATGTGTGGCTGGAGCAGAAGGTGTGCTGCCGAGAAATGTCTCCCCGGCCTTTGTGCAGTCACGAGAAATGTTCAACGAAAGTGTTTCCCTGACAGGAAACGGCAAAGGTGGAGGACGATTGTTTAAACGCCGTGGATTTCAAAAAAAAAAAATTCTCATGAAGTGCCAGTCTCAAAGACAGCAAGAAAAAAATTAAATACTTTATATATTATATACAGATGAATACAAACACAGACCACAGGTCCAGGTCTTTGAATGAAGCTCAGATCTGCGTCAGACATCGGGCTAAAAAGCAGCGGAGGTGAAGAGTTCAGCACTTTCTGCTTCAGTAAACACGGTGCTGCTAAAAGCAGTTGATGTGACGAGACAATGAATAAAAGCAAAAAACAGTCTCTAAAGGTTGAAGCTTTAAAAAGAAACAAGAATCAGTAGAGTCAGAACAAAAATAATCTTGAAAGTAGACATAAGTGGCTGAAACGCAACAAAAAATAACTGAGATTTAGCTACAATTTTCCCCAAAATGTCTAAAACATACATTTGTTATCATGATGGCCAAAAGTTGTTTGTTTTTTATTGAACAACGTGGTGTTACCAAAAACAAGCTCCGAAATGGGCATGAAATAAATGTAAAATCAATTATAAATGGTCCAAATGTTGGCAAAACATGATAGCAAAAATACCATATATTTGGCAAAAGGAGCTAAAACATGTCAAAAGAGTTTCATAACAAAAAGTGTCGCAAAAACCAAAATCTGTTCTGCAAATGTTCTGCAAAGAATCTTCAAACTGTCTGTAAAATCATACGAATATGGTAGAAAATAGTCTTCTTCAGAACGGAGGTGACGTGAGGGCAAACGTCAGAGAGTTTTTAAAATGTTCTTGAACATTCTAATGACATAAATGACCTCAAAGACTCGAGCACTTGTTCTTCTATCGTTTTTTTTTTTTTTTCCTTTTACGATCGACTGAAAGATTCCAGAGAAATGATCACACTCCAACTCCAGAGACCCCGTCTTTACAGCCTGTTGTTCCCTGCTGTGCCTGCTGGCGTGACAGGAAGTGAACATCAGACAACGGTGAATCCTGCCGGCGGAAACAACTAGACACGAGAACAGTTTCCTTCCCTGGTTCTGTAGCCTTCAGCCATGACTGTGCTGCAGAATCACCTGCAGCATCTGGAGAAATGTCCCGGTCAGAGAAACCTCACAGCTTTGAAGATCATAAAATGCTGTGATTTTTTTTTATTTTTTATCACCGATGTCGGCGCAGACAGTCGTACACCTCCCCGGGCAGAGCTGTAGGTAAAAGGCCCAGGGGGAGCCAAGGGGGGAGAAGGGTGTGGGGTGGGGGGGTGAGCTGCTCCACGGATTTTTTAAAAAGTGTCGACTGAATATAAAGGCTAAAAGCATTTGTCCTCCCGCAGGTTTGGTGTTGGTGCTAACGGCAGAAGGAGCTCGTAATTGACTTTAGCGCGAGGCTTTTTGAATGCAACTGACAGAGTGTGGAACAGAGTGTCAGGATGTTTAATGAGGAAGAAGAATCAATAAGGTAACAAACTGAGCTGGAACTGAGGAGACGCTGACCCTAACAAGGCAACAAACTAATGAAGTGGACTGTTGAGGAATAATTGACTGCAGAACAGATGCATCGGAGACAGGTTTGCTAAAAAAAAAAAAAAAAATTCAATGTAGGTGAACCCCCCCCAAAAAACCAATAAATTAAGTTAAGAATACATAATCCTCATTATTTAAACAGATCCACAAATTTGAACTTGAAAAATATTGACGCTCAAAGATACAGTGACTCATCACTATTCAACAGAACCTCGAGCTGGGACCTCGGAAGGTCGAGAAAAGAGTCAGAAATACGTTAATTAGCACAGAAATGACCAGAAGTTAAAACAGCAGAAAGTTGTGATTGACTCCAGTTCTGAACTTCATCCAACTGACATCATTTAGAACAGGGTGTCAGGATGTTTACTGAGGAAGAAGAATCAATAATGTAACAAATGGAGCAGAAACGGAGGAGACGCTGCCCCTCGTGTGATCGTCGAGTCCATAACAAGGCAACGAATGATTGGGCAGAATAATTCAAAAACGAACCGGTGAACAAAAACAGAGGTTTGAAAAAAAAAACATATCTTTTCTCATGCATTTGAAGACAGGCAGACAAAAACAGAGGTTTGAAAAAAAAAACTTTTCTCATGCATTTGAAGACAGGCAAAACACAAAATTTGATTTAAAATTATAAATCAGGAAGAGAAAAAGTTGAGAGAAAAAGTAGCAAAAACTGACCCAAAGGTGGAAGGTTGAAATGTATTTAGCTGAAAGTGGCTAAATGTTAGCACAGAAGGCTAACAATCATACAGAAAGACTGAAATCTTGACTGAGAATCAGCAAACTTTGAACAACATTTCAGCAGTGAATTTTAAAGGAAAGTTGAGGAAATTCAACACTGTGCAGAATAAGAGGAAAATATTCTGTTTTTAAACTTAAATGTCCAAAGATTTAATTGCAATATACCAAAACATGTGAAGAGGACGACAAAAATGGAAAGCTGTGAGACACCAACACAGTTCCATGTGGTACGGTTCACCAGGTTTAGAAACTCACCCCTTTTCTCACCCCGGTTCTTAGTTATAATTAACACCATTTTCTCCTTCAGCAACTTAAACTATTTTTTTTAATTAGCCGCATGTTCATTGTTACTCCGGCGGTTTGAGGTACTTTTAATGTACGACTTTATTGTTTGGAAATACTGCTCAGCTCAGAGCTGCTCCCCTGTATCTTTATGTTCCAGCAGGAAGTGAAGCGTGGAAATGCAGCTCGGCTCCACGTCGGGCTGCTTATTTGATTTAAATTTAAATTAAAGAGCCATTAAGCTGCATTCAAATGAACGGTAACAGAGACGCGCGGTGGCAGGATAAATCAGGAAATATGAGCCGGACTTGTCACCTTTACTCTTTTTAATTCTACCCAGAGAAACACAAACACCCCGGAGGAAAAGACGAGGGGGAATTAGATTAACGACCTAATATGGGCATTCAAATGATATGCTAATGATGAAGAAAGAAACAGTCAGGGAACTCTGACATGTTGGAGTTTGGTTTGTATCTCATTTAGAAAAGGTAAATTAGCGGGTGGGGGCGCTGTTGGTGTAGCAAATGTTTTTTTAAGGGATCAGAGAAGGACTTTCGGATGATTGTGGTGATAAGGAATTCTCATCACATCCTTCAACAAGTCTCTCGCTCTCATCACGGCGCTCAATGAGATGCAGCTCGTGTCCAGGGCCACATTCTCCGGCTGTAATCCAGCAACAAAGACATCCATCAGCAGAGACGCTGACAGACAAACACGACGGGAGACGACGGGCGGCCGTGAAAGACGGCGAGGGCGGGACAGCGAGACGCAGGACGCGATAAAGGAGCAGAAACACAAACACCAGGGTTTAATTGAACAAGACGGGGGGAGAGACGAGAGGTGTGAGCCATAACAAGTGACGAGATTAATGGTCGAGAGAAGGAATAAATAAGTTCAAGTTGAAAAAAAAATCTATGTAAAATCAATAATGATAAAATGTGTTAAAGGGAGAAAAAACAGATTATTATGGGTTTAAGACCGAAGGATGTGGAGAGGAGGAGGAGGGAGAAAAGACAAATAAAAAACAAGAAATATGTAGGAAAAGTTTAGAAGGGAAGAC